TTGCCTAATAGATTTTTTTGCTTGTTGCTTTTGTCTCATCTGGGATGTTTTTTGACTTGCCACATATAATTCTGTTAACTATCAGAATGGACCACTTGTCAAGGCATGGTTTGAAATATTGTAAATATTTTCTGCAAACTGTCTAATTTTCTTACTATGATGGCCTGATGTTTTTTTGCTTGCCTTTTGACTTACCAATATATTTCATACCAACATTCTTTCATTACTGATACCTGATAATTAACATTCTTCTTGACCAGTTGGTTCATTAAAAAAATAATTTTACCATCCAACTTTTGACCTCCTTCCTTTGTTAGAGCAGCCATAGTTAAACCTGCAATTGCAACACCGTTCTAATTCTGTCAATCTTCTGCCACCTGCTCAAATCTTTATTTACAACTATGGTGAAAGACAAGACTAAGATACAGTATTTTCAAGTGTCTTTTCTATTTATTTGAATGTCGAGTCATAAGTTATATTTATGAATTACATTTATTATGATAGTTACCTTCAACATTCCTTCGCAATTATTACAGCAAATAAATAAATACGTACACAAAATCCCTTTCAGAGCCCATCAACAGTAACCTGATGGTCCATGGGCACTTTAAGAAAATCTGTACTATTGTATGCTAGTCTACATTGACAATTATGTAACAGTATAAAAATATCTGTGAACAACAGCAGCATACAGTGTAACAGTAAAACAATAACAGTATACTAAGTAACAATTTCCATTTTGTATAGACTTGCTAACATGAACAACAGATCAGTTAGAATACTGTATAGACTCGCAAAAATTAACAATAGATCAGTTCAGATATTGTATAGATTTGTAAAAATGAACAATAACACCTGAACTCACTGAACTGATTGAAACTGATTAATGAACTGATTGAAACTGATTCAACTTATTGAAAGATACTATGCCCAAGGCCATTGGAATGACTTACTGCAAACACTTCTGTATGTAGTGGTAAAAGAAAAAATGATCTGCTCTGTCTCTAATGGTGTGCATTACATCAAGATCTTTATAAATTCGCTCGACTAACATGTCTTCCTGAGCACAAACGACAAAATCACACCACTCTAGCCCTGTCAAGAGCATCTGACCTTGAACTTGCCAGTAGTACTTGTGCTGCCTCCTGAGTTTCAAAGCACCACCGGACATTTTTAGATAGGGGCAGTCCACATAGCTCTGGATATTGGGGCATTTGACCTCAAGGAGACCAAATGGTGGGTTCCCAGAGGGATCAAAGATGAATCCATCAGGAGAGCTACCTAGCCATGGAGGATGTACAATGAACCCGCAGGGTGAACAGTTCACGTTTTTAAGAGTGCAATACTCTTTAACAGCGAGTGGCTCCATATCAATACCTCTTCTCATGTCCATGGTCTGACCAGTCCCCCTGAGAATTCTCTCAGCCAGATTCTCTGCAGATGTATGTCCACAAACATGGCATACCTCATGGAAGCGAGTAGATGTCACTCCTCATATCCATGGTCTGACCAGTCCCCCTGAGAATTCTCTCAGCCAGATTCTCTGCAGATGTATGTCCACAAACATGGCATACCTCATGGAAGCGAGTAGATGTCACTCTCATCTTTCTCAAACGACCTCTGCCCTTGTGTTGTAGCTTCTATCCTGTGGGCCATGTTGAATGACACCTCCAGAGACTTCAGGTGCAGATGTTCCTGCTCTGATAGAACATAGGCACAGGATTGTGGTTCGAGCCTGTAGCTGTGGATGGGAAGGGAGGGTGAGGCAGGGGCAGATGGGATGTTGATGACTTCCCTCATTGCTGGTGGTTTATGCTGAAATGACAGCACGCTCCCTGCCTGGACAGCTCCAAAAGCAGACTGGACTAACGGTTTGTCAGCCAATATAAGCCAATCCGGAATTGTGACGTGCATTGAGCGCATAGGAACGTGACATAATTTTGGTCTAGAATTGAAGTACTACATGTCTGCCATCTAGTGGCAGGGAATACAAATGATATATTTCACCATATTAGGAACTACAGGCTATTTTATTAAGTATGACGTCTTGTCACAATTT